CTTGGCACACAGAGCCCCCATGACCCACTCTACATGCTACTGCAGTTTGGAGGAGGGAAGACTATGGATGATGGGACTTGCAGTACCTTCATTCACTTTCTGAGACCAGTGCAACCCTCATCCAATGACTGATCAAGACATTGGGGGCCACAGTCTGTGGGAGCTGAAGGGGTTGAAAGTACTACAAATGTGTAATATAAAAATATAATTCTTATATTTATTATTATATTGTATTACATTATAACATTATTATCAGTATTATATGTGTATACAATATATTATATTATTACTACAGCACAATATTAGTATTATGTATTACTATACTGTATTATACCACTATACTGTAATATTATTAGTAATATTATGTGTAATATAAAATATAATTCTTATATTTATTATTATCATATTGTATTACATTAAAACATTATTATCTGTATTATATGTGTATACAATATATTATATTATTAGCACAACACAATATGAGTATTATATATTACTATACTGTATTATACCAGTAGACTGTAATATTATTAGTAATATTACATGTAATATAAAATATAATTCTTATATTTACTATTATATTGTATTACATTATAACATTATTATCTGTATTATATGTGTATACAATATATTATATTATTAGCACAACACAATATTAGTATTATATATTACTATATTGTTCTATACCATAAATATAGCCCCCTGTGGCGCAGTGGGTTAAAGCATTGATCTGCTGAACTTGCTGACCGAAAGGTCGGCAGTTCAAATCTGGGGAGTGGCATGAGCTCCCGCTGTCAGCCCTAGCTTCTGCCAACCTAGAAATTTGAAAACATGCAAATGTAAGTAGATCAATAGCTTCTTCGGCTATTTCCTCCTCCTCCTCCTCCTCCTCCTCCTCCTCTTCCTCCTCCTCTACTACCTCATCTTGTTCTTCTCTCTCTACATCCTCCTCCTCTTCCTCCTCCTCTTCCTCCTGCTCTTCCTCCTCCTCCTCCTCTACTTCCTCATCCTGTTCTTCTCCCTCCACTTTCACTTGGCCTTCCTCCTCCTTTGTCACCTCTTCCTCCTCCGCTTCCACTTCCTCCTCCTCTTTCTCTTTCTCCCCCTCCTTCTCCTCTACCTTCTCCTCCTGGTTGTGGTTCGAGAGGATGGGAAAGGTCTTCTTGTTCCACATCCTCTTTCGCCTCGGTGGTTCTTCCAGGCGTATTTTTTTCCCTTCCGCCACCAGGTCCGCCAAGGGATTTGGCCATGGTACGACTTTGTTTGCTCGCGGCATGACTGTAAAGAAAACGACAAGAAGAGAGTTAGCAAGGGTATATAGATATTCTGTGAAGGAAAAGAAAGAACTTTACAATAAGAACGCACTCCTTTTTCCCCAATCCCGCCACCTCGCTTTTCCCACCTGTGAACCCGCAGCCCTGACTCCAGCTGTAAGGTTCCGTTATTTATTATTATTATTATTATTATTATTATTATTATTATTATTATTATTTCTCGCATTTCTATCCTATCCTTCTCAACCCCCGAATGGGGACTCGGGATGGCTTACGATGGCGTGTTGGAGTTCCTTTTGTCTTTTTCTTCTGCTTCTGTGTGTTTATTATCCTTTTCTTCTTTTCCTTCTTCTTCCTTTTTCTTATTCTTTTTTTCTTCTTCTTCCTGTCCTTTTTGTGTGTTTTTCTCCAGCTGTAAGGTTCCGTTATTTATTATTATTATTATTATTATTATTATTATTATTATTATTATTATTTCTCGCATTTCTATCCTATCCTTCTCAACCCCCGAATGGGGACTCAGGATGGCTTACAATGGGCCCCGTTACAAAGCCATTACATAACACAATTAAAACCACAATTAAACATAAAATCATAATTAACAATACATAAGCCATCATTAAAACAATAAAACAGTCTCATCAGCCATATCGTCATTCCAGTCACATCCCTTTAAAGTACTGCTTGCATCTATTGTCCAAAAGCCTGGTCCCAAAACCATGCCTTTACTTTCTTTCAAAAAGCTAGGAGGGAGGTGGCCAATCTTACCTCAGTTGGGAGTGTGTTCCATAGGGAGGGGGGGCACCACCGAGAAGGCCCTGTCTCTCGTCCCTGCCAGGCGCATTTGTGCTGAAATGGGAGCGAGAGCAGGGCCTCCCCGGATGATCTTAGGTTTCGAGGTGGGACGTAGGGGTGGATGCCTTCGGACAAGTAAGCTGGGCCAGAACTGTATAGAGCTTTATAGGTCAGAACCAGCAGGAATAGTTACAGGAATAGTGGTCTAATTATGATTCCTGTGTATATTCCACCTCTCACATTGGAGGGGATGTGGTTTAAAAAGGGAATTTTCAGGTATTTCCCCAATGCCCATATGTCATGATTTACTGCCATATTGACCTATTTCTGCAGTAGGCCTATGTTCACAGAAAATGCTGATTGTTTGTGAAATCAGTGCTCCAAAGAAGTTACTATTCAAGGAGAACAATATATCCGGACAAAACCAGCTAGCTGTTGGCTAGTTAGAACCCCCAAGTTTCCCAGTTACTCTGAAGCCATGTTTGCAACAGACTAACAGAAAAGATACAGTCATGGTCAGAGAACAATGGACCATAGTTATGATATAGTTGTGCCATTGTTAGGATATCACACGTTCTATAATGTCAATCAAAACCATAAACAACAAATGAACAACTGCATAGCTAACTTAGACCAATGAAATGATTTGTCTTTGGGAACCAATGAAAATGTATATTCCATTTACTATAAATGCTCTGCAGCCCCATTGGGGGTTGCGACAAACCCTTTGATTGCATCCCTGTATGCCTGTTTGTCGTTATTGCTATGGCCACGCAATAATAAATAGTTTTTTTGCAGTTTAAAAGATTCAACTTTTGTGGTGTCCATCCTTTTGTGGTGTCCATCTTCTTTCAAGGTGAAAGAAGAAAGCGCAAAAGCTGGGTTGCAGCTAAACATCAAAAAAACCAAGATTATGGCAACAAGAATGATTGACAACTGGAAAATAGAGGGAGAAGATGTGGAGGCCGTGACAGACTTTGTATTTCTAGGTGCAAAGATTACTGCAGATGCAGACTGTGGCCAGGAAATCAGAAGACGCTTACTTCTTGGGAGGAGAGCAATGTTCCAGTCTTGATAAAATAGTAAAGAGTAGAGACATCAGACTGGCAACAAAGATCCGCCTAGTCAAAGCCATGGTATTCCCTGTAGTAACCTACGGATGTGAGAGCTGGACCTTAGGGAAGGCTGAGCGAAGGAAGATAGATGCTTTTGAGCTGTGGTGTTGGAGGAAAGTTCTGAGAGTGCCTTGGACTGCGAGAAGATCCAACCAGTCCATCCTCCAGGAAATAAAGCCTGACTGCTCATTGGAGGGAAGGATACTAGAGACAAAGTGGAAGTACTTTGGCCACATCATGAGGAGACAGCAAAGCCTAGAGAAGACAATTATGCTGGGGAAAGTGGAAGGTAAAAGGAAGAGGGGCCGACCAAGGGCAAGATGGATGGATGGCATCCTTGAAGTGACTGGACTGACCTTGAAGGAGCTGGGGGTGGTGACGGCCGACAGGGAGCTCTGGTGAGGGCTGGTCCATGAGGTCACGAAGAGTTGGAGACTACTGAACGAATGAACAACAACATCCTTGCCCTCCCTATTGGAAAGGGGGCTTCTGCCTTTTTGGGAAATATTCTGGTTTCGTTGCCCCTACAGAACAACCACGTTTTCAGGCTCCTCCTAAAGACTGCCAGCGTTGGGGCGTGTCTGATGTCCCTGGGGAGTGAGTTCCAGAGTCGAGGGGCCACCACCGAGAAGGCCCTGTCCCTCGTCCCCACCAATCGCGCTTGCGATGGAGGCGGGAGCGCGAGCATTGCCTCTCCAGATGATAGAAGAGATCATCGTGTGGGTTCGTACACAGTGATGTGGTCACGCATCCTGCAAGGATTTAGCAGAAAGGTCAAAGGAGGCGGGGAGAGGAGATTTGGGGGCTAGAAGTATACATAAACATAATAATAATAATTGTTTTCTCTGCTGCCAGTGGAATAACGTACTGCCTGACCTTGTCGAAGGAAAATGCTTTTTCAGATCACTCAGTCCAAAGCGGCCTTCTTGGACCCAGTGTAGAGGAGGGAAGATGGCTGCCTCTTTTGGGGCCTAGCTGGGAGAAGGCAACCTAGAAGACCTGCAAGGATTTAGCAGAAGGGTCAAAGAAGGCCGGGGTGAGGGGGCGTTGAAGGCCAGGAGTGTTCAGAAGCATCACGTCCTAGTCTCCAGGGAAGCAGAAAACAAGCTTGCTCCCTCCTCCCTGTGGCTTCCTCTCACATATTTATACATGGCTATCATATCTCCTCTCAGCCTTCTCTTCTTCAGGCTAAACATGCCCAGCTCCTTAAGCCGCTCCTCATAGGGCTTGTTCTCCAGACCTTTGATCATTTTAGTCGCCCTCCTCTGGACACATTGCAGCTTGTCAATATCTCTCTTGAATTGTGGTGCCCAGAATTGGACACAAAATTCCAGGTGTGGTCTAACCAAAGCAGGATAGAGGGGTAGCATGACTCCCCTAGATCTAGACACTATGATTTTATATATGATTTTTCTTCTTATGTTTGCAAGTCTTTGCAAATCCTATATAGATGTAATTATCTATGTATAGAGAGATGTCTAGATAGATATATATGAATATAGATATATTATATAGGGCTTCCAAATACAAGCTAAGGTTCCATCCATACCGGCATATAATCCAGTTTCTGAATCCAGATTATCTGCCTTGAACTGGATTATATGGCAGTGAACACTTACATTATTCAGTTCAGAGCAGTTAATCTGGATTATATGGCAGTGCAGATCCAGCCTGGGATACAAATGTTTTCTGTGGGAATCTTTCTTTTTGTCCAGCCCCGCTCACCTCCTTCCTCTCCTTGGAGTTCACCATACCTGCAAAGTGCTGCCTGATTCATGGAGTCCAGCAAAGACCAATAAGGAAATATTGAAGATACCTGCAAGGTACTACCACACGCACAGAACCCAAAGTCAAAGATCGCCCTGTCTTCAGAGGCATTGAAGGAGGTGGGCTTGCAACCAGCAGAGCCCAAAGTCAAGGCAGTTGCTTGGATGAGCCTCCCTGTCCCAAACAGGTCCCTGTTGACCGTCACCAGGGCCGTAGCCAGGAAAAATTTTTTGGGAGGGGTTGAAATTTGGGGGGGGGGGGGTGGGGTTGAAACCTGCCTCCTAGCTCACGCTGAAGCAAAGAGCACAGCAGGGGGCAGAGCAGCCTTCAATAGCCTGCAGCTCCGCCCCTGTCAACCACCTCCACCAAGTCTGGCCTCCTTAATGAGAGCATTCAACATCCCCCCCCCCCCAACTTGGTTGCTTCACTACTGTTCTGTCGCGCGCTGGGCCTGTAAATAATTGTCTTTAGAACAGGATGTGCAACCTTTGCCCAGCGGGAAGCCAGGGGGCCTAAAGAGAAGTTCTCAGAGGTTTCCACCACAAACAGTCTTAGATGGCTTGAGAAGTACAACAAAGTCTTTTATTAATGAACAATCAAACAGAAACTTCTCTTGTCTTCAGTAAAGTTAAGCAAATGATTCCAAGCTTTTAGGCAACTGGTGAATTCCTAATCTTGCCCACGAAGGACAGGCAACTGTCTTCAATAACTTCTTCTTTAAAGGAAAATCCCCTTTTTAACTTCTCCCAGGCTGACTGTAATCTAACCCTTACTGATGTGGGCTCCGCTACCGGGTCGAACTGCGTCTCAAACGCCAAGTGGACCTACCAGCAAGGCAGTAGATGTTCTCCAGCTGGAGTTCTTTGGTCTTTAGGGCTGTTTTCCTGGAAATTCTTTGGAGACTCTTAAGGCTTTTCTCCCCCGGAAGGTCTTAAGGGTTGAAGCTTTTGTACAGGGGAAGCTTGCACACATCCTATACATAAGCTTACCTTGCTGAGACTAACTAAAAATGGCCCCCTTCCCTTCCCATCTCCCTGGGAAAAGGGGCGGATCCAAATTTAACAATGATGGACAAGTGACTTGCCCTATGACTGCAAACCAAAGGAAGCCACCCTTTTGCAGAATCCCTGAAACTTTGGAATGCATGCAAACATTAAAAAGCAAATAAAGTTGGAGCTCCTGGTACAGCTGTACCAGAACAACTACATCGGCTATTGCTGCAAGTAATGACAGTGTGAATAAATTGTCAATATTTGCTTGAGATAGTGCTTGCAGTTCTGGAGGGACTCTTATTTTTTGCATCTCATAGACTTAGCATGGGGATTTGGTTAACTAGTTAAAATTCATGAGTAAACCAGGTTTTTTTAAAAAAATCTGAAACATTTCGGGGGGGGGGTTGAACCCCTAAAACCCCCCCCCCTCGCTACGGGCCTGACTGTCACCATGACATGCGCCTCCCCACACTGGGCAGTCACTGGATTCAAACTGGATAACGCCCTGGGCTGGGAGATATCCACCCAAGCTGAGGAGGAGGACTCGGCCAAAGAAGAAGGAAAGCCCTTGGGTTGCCTCACGGGAGGTGATGTTCCTGCAGAAGGTCTCCAACCCAATGTGTTCCTTGGAGCCAAATCCTGGGGTGGGGTGGAGTGGGGTGGGGTGGCACAATATTAACTACGCAGCCCAGAAGGACTCACCCCAAACTTGCAAAAAGGGCCATTTCTCTGAGACTATGGAGGACGACCATAAGCCAACTTTATATGGTGAGCTCCAAGATGACCCACACCTGCCTTGAGTCACGGTCAACATTTCCCTTCAATTCTAGCTGCCTGGAAGCAGCATGGAAGGTGTGATCAAAGGGACCGGTTTCCAATGGAGAAGCTGCTTTTTAAAAATAAGTATTGTTATAGTGGAAAGGTAACCTTGATATCTTATTACTCAGGTAGGTTATCTAACTGTAATTCCTCCCTAAAACATACTCTCTCTCCCTTGAGTAAGTTCTATGTACTCATGGCTTTGGACGTAGTTCTCCTGAACGGGAGGGATTCGTGGCTGGAGAAGAAAGTCTTGTGCAATTGGCTGGAACTCTTCCAAGGTAAGAAAGCTCATCTCAGCCAAGGTTGCCCCGACACAAAGGACCTCACCCTTCTCACCAACAGACACGAGGAGAAGGAGGGCTTCTCGTTGGTCTCACAGAACTTACTCAAATCGGGAAGTGTTCGGCTATTTTCAGCTTTGGACTCTGTGCCTGTTTTCGGTCTCATTTACTTCCTTGTGCTTTATTTTCCATTATGTTATATTGTACTGTTTATTTTACTTGATTGGCTCATTTATTTTATTGTGATGTTATTTTGTTGTTTCTATTTTATGTTGCTGTAATGTATCGCTGGGCTTGGCCTCATGTAAGCCGCTGCGAGTCCCCTTTGGGGAGATGGTGGCCGGGTATAAGTAAAGATTATTATTATTATTATTATTATTATTATTATTATTATTATTATTATTATTAGAAACACAACAAGATGAGTCCACAGCAGACACTCTGCTGGTTGTTGTATGGATCACACGTCGGAAACTTCCCAAGTGTCTAGGACTGTGTGATGTATCGGTGAATAATGCGTGCAGATTCCAGTAAGATGGCCTCTTACAGCTGGCAGATGGTAATTTCGTCAGTGCTGATTGTGTTTAAGTGCAGGCCAAGGTCTTGAGGCACTGCACCCAGTGTGCTGATCACCACTGGGATCACCTTTACTGGCATTATTATTATTATTATTATTATTATTATTATTATTATTAGAAACACAACAAGATGAGTCCACAGCAGACACTCTGCTGGTTGTTGTATGGATCACACGTCAGACAGTTCCCAAGTGTCTAGGACTGTATGATGTATCAGCAAATAATGCATGCAGATCCCAGTAAGATGGCCTCTTACAGCTGGCAGATGGTAATTTCGTCAGTGCTGATTGTGTTTAAGTGCAGGCCAAGGTCTTGAGGCACTGCACCCAGTGTGCCGATCACCCCTGGCACCCCCTTGACTGGCTTGTGCCAGAGTCTTTGCAGTTCGATCTTTAAATCCTCATATCGTGTCAGCTTTTCCAGTTGTTTCTCTTCAATCCTGCTGTCACCTGGGATTGCAACAATATTATTATTATTATTATTATTATTATTATTATTATTGTGTGCATCTCCCTAACAAACACAGGGGCAAACTTGTCACACATAACCCCCATGACCCCCTTTACATCCTGGTGAGGTTTGGGGGAAGACAGAGAATGGATGATGGGATTTGTAGTACTTTCAAATCCTTCAGTTCCCACAGACCACTGTGGCCCCCCAAAAAGGCCGATAAAGACCAAACTTGTCACACAGAACACCCATCACCCACTCTACATTCTGCTGCAGTTGGGAGGAGGGTGGACCATGGATGAAGGGACTTGCAGTACTTTCAGTCACTAACTGAGACCACTGCAACCCACACCAATGACTGATCAAGAGCAAACTTGGCACACAGAGCTCCATGACCCACACTATGTCTGGGTGGAGTTTGTGGGCCAATTGACCATGGATGATGGGACTTCCAGTAGCTTCACTCACTTCCTGAGACCATTGCGACCCACACCTATGACTGATCAAGATCTAACTTGGTACCCTGAGCCCCCATGACCCACTTTACCTCCTGGTGTGGTTTGGGTGAGGATGCACCATGGATGATGGGACTTTCAGTAGCTTCACTCACTTCCTGACATCACTGTGACCTTCACCAATGACTGATCAAGACCAAACTTGGCACACAGAGCCCCCATGACCCACTCTACATGCTACTGCAGTTTGGAGGAGGGAAGACTATGGATGATGGGACTTGCAGTACCTTCATTCACTTTCTGAGACCAGTGCAACCCTCATCCAATGACTGATCAAGACATTGGGGGCCACAGTCTGTGGGAGCTGAAGGGGTTGAAAGTACTACAAATCCATCATCCTTTGTCTGTCCTCCCCCATACCTCACCAGGACGTACAGGGGGTCATGGGGGTTATGTGTGCCAAATTTGGTCCAGATCCGTCGCTCGTGCAAGTCTCTGTGGCCTGTGAAAGTGAGAGCCAATCAGAAAGCTGCCACATACACTTCCACCCTTCTGCCCTCCGCATACATACATACAAACAAACATTGACTTTTATTATAGACTAGCTTGGGGACCCGGCGCTGCCCGGGTTATTTGAGAAAGGAATTGTATATCAAGGTTGGTCTTTATCAGTTATTTATATGGCTCGCAGTGGTCTCAGGAAGTTAGTGAAGGTACTGTGAGTCCCATCATCTGTGGTCCATCCTCCTCCAAACTGCTCCAGGATGGAGAGTGGGTCATGGGGGCTCTGTGTGCCAAGTTTGGTCTTTATCGGTCATTAGATGAGTGTTGCAGAGGTCTTGGGAAGTGAGTGGAGGTACTTGAAGTCCCATCATCCATAGTCTGTACTCCCCCAAACCTCACCAGAATGTTGAGTTGGCCATGGGGGGCTCTATGTTCCAAGTTTGGTCTTTATTGGTTTTTGAATGAGTGTCGCTATGGTTTCAGGAAGTGAGTGAACGTACTGCAAGTCCCATCATCCATCGTCCATCCTTCAAACAGCACCGGGATGTAGGGTGGGTCATGGGGGCTGTGTGTGCCAAGTTTGGTCTTGATCGGTCATTAGATGAGGGTTGCAGCAATCTTGGGAAGGGAGTGGAGGTACTTGAAGTCCCATCATCCATGGTCTGTCCTCCAAACTGCACCAGGGTGTAGAGTGGGTCATTGGGGCTCCGTGTGCCAAGTTTGGTCTTGATTAGTCATTGGCGAGGGTCTCAGTGGTCTCAGAAAGTGAGTGAAGTTACTGCAAGTCCTATAATCCATCTCCAATTTTTTCCAAACGACACCAGGACGTAAAGTGGGTCATGAGAGGTTTATGTGCCAAGTTTGGTCTTGATCAGTCATTGCATGAGGTTTGCAGAGGTCTCAGAATGTGAGTGAAGGTACTGGAAGTCATATCATCCATTGTCCATCCTCCTCCAAAACTGCAGCAGGATGTAGAGTGGGTAATGGGGGCTCTGTGTGCCAAGTTTGGTCTTGATCGGACATTAGGTGAGGGTTGCAGCAGTCTTGGGGAGTGGAGGTACTTGAAGTCCCATCATCCATGGTCTGTCCTCCTCGAAAGTGCACCAGGATGTAGAGTGGGTCATGGGGACTCTGTGTGCCAAATTTGGTCTTGATCAGTCAGTGGTCTCAGGAAGTGAGTGAAGTGACTGCAAGTCCCATCATCCATTGACAAATTTTTCCTAACCGCACCAGGATGTAGAGTGGGTCATGCGGACTCTCTGTATAAATTGTGGTCCTGATCCATCATTGTTGGCAGTTGTAATGGTCTTAAGAAGGGAGTGCAGGTATTGCAAGTCCCATCGTCCATGGTGCATCCTCCTCCAAACTGCACCAGGATGTAGAGTGCATCATGGAGACTCAGTGTGCCAAGTTTGGTCTTTATTGGAAATTGGATGAGGGTTGCAGTGGTCTCAGGATTTGAGCAAAGGTACTGCAAGTCCCATAATCCATGGTCCATCCCCGGCCAAACCACACCAGGACATAAGGTGGGTCATGAGAGGTTTATGTGTCAAGTTTGGTCCTGATCAGTCATTGGATGAGGTTAACAGCGGTCTCAGAATGTGAGTGATGGTACTGCAAGTCCCATCATCCATGGTTGCAGTAGGATGTCGAGTCGGTCTTGCAGGCTCTGTGTGCCAAGTCTGGTCTGTATTGGTGATTTTCTGACTCAGCCCCCTCTGGCCTTTTCCTTTCCTCTCTTTGTCAGCTCGGAATCTTTGAATTGAGGCTGGCCAATCAGAGACCATATGCAAATTTCCTTCTCATATCCCCGTTTTTGTCATGAACTCTTTTCTCCACCAGGGGCTCCTCTTGAAGCTGGCCAATCAGAGACCATATGCAAATAGCACCGCTGCCCAGCCAATCGGAATCTTGGAATTTCAGGCTGGCCAATCAGAGACCACAGTGGCAGCCAATCAGAAAGCTAGCACATACACCGCCACACTTTTGTCCTCCTCCACATACAAACTTTCACCTTTATTATATAGATAGATTATTATTATTATTATTATTATTATTATTATTATTATTATTATTATTATCGGAGTACAGATCCCATCCGCGGTGGTTCTGGTTCCCCTTTGTGTTGTAATGAGTCTTTAAGCGGGAGGCTTTCTGTTTGTGCAACTCCTTTGGAAGCCTTCCTCCTCCCTTGGCAGGCCTTCCTTCTCCTCTTCCCTGGGCCTTCTGCCTTGGCTGCCCTGGAATCCCTCCTTCCTCATAGAATCAAAGAGTTGGAAGAGACCTCATGGGCCATCCAGTCCAACCCCATTCTGCCAAGAAGCAGGAATATTGCATTCAAATCACACCAGACAGATGGCCATCCAGCCTCTGTTTAAAAGCTTCCAAAGAAGGAGCCTCCACCACACTCTGAGGCAGAGAGTTCCACTGCTGAACGGCTCTCACAGCCAGGAAGTGCTTCCTCATGTTCAAATGGAATCTCCTTTCTTATAGTTTGAAGCCATTGTTTGCCTCCTAGTCTCCAAGGAAGCAGAAAACAAGCTTGCTCCCTCCTCCCTGTGGCATCCTCTTACATATTTGTACATGGCTATCATATCTCCTCTCATCCTTCTCTTCTTCAGGCTAAACATGCCCAGCTCCTTAAGCCACTCCTCATAGGGCTTGTTCTCCAGACCCTTGATCATTTTAGTCGCCCTCCTCTGGACACATTCCAGCTTGTCAACCTCTCTCTTGAGTTGTGGTGCCCAGAATTGGGCACAATATTCCAGGTGTGGTCTAACCAAAGCGGAATAGAGCATGGGGAGCATGACTTCCCTAGATCTAGACACTATGCTCCTATTGATGCAGGACAAAATCCCTTTGGCTTTTTTTGCCTTCCTCCTTGTCAAAGTCGTAACGATGATGAGGATGAGGATGATGTGTGCAGAAGCTTCATTTTGTATTGCTACACCCCCCCCCCCCCCCCCCCAAAAAAAAATCTTCCTAAACAATAATCCCAAGATGCCCTGAGGCTGGGGCCTCTCTCTCTCTCTCTCCTTCTCCCTCTGTGTCTCCTGGAAGTGGAATGTGTTTTGTTCTCCTATAAATAAGTCCCTTTGCAGCCCACTCGCTTCTCTTTCTCTTAAAGAGCTGCTCTGGGTTGAGATGCTCGTTGCTATGGCGACAGCGTCCTGGCAACCGCTCCCAGATGCTGGTCCTGATGCTGCTGCTGCTTCTCCATCCTCCTCTTTCCTTACCAGCCAAGCCGAGAAGCGAAAGGAAAAGAGAGGATGCTTTTGGGGGATGCATGGATGGAGGCCTGCCTTCCTCTTGAGCCTTGAGGGCCGTGCTTCCCGGTGATTTCTGCCCCTCCTTCCCTGCTTTCCGACCACCTCCGCCTTTTTTTCCCCGCAGGTGAGTTGGCGCGCGGTTGCACGACACACGCAGCACGTTCTCCTGCACGCTCTTGCACATTGGTCGTGCGATGGGATGGGTGAGCCCTTGGGAGCCTGCCGGATGGTCCTGCTACCCTTCGGCCAGGTCTTCCCGGAGGAGCGCTTCTCCCTTGACATCAGCAGCGACGACGGGCAGCACGCGCACTGCTACCACCAGCCCTGCGCCGGGTGCACCTGCGGGGTGCTCTGCTGTGAGTAGCTGGAATGCATGGGTGGCCGCCACAGCAGCAGCAACAGGAATAATAGTAATCCTAAAGAGCCTTCCTTCCAATCAGCAATTCTTCCCACTCAGCCCTGGCCTTGCCTCCTCCAAGGAATCGGACCTAGGCTCCCGGGAAAGGAGGCCGGCCTGTATCCATAGGGCTCTAAGCTACAAAAGGAGAAAAAAGCCAGCTAGATCATCATAATCATAATAATGCATTAGCAATAATATTAAGAATAATAACAATAACAATAAATTTCAGTTTGAGTCCCCTTGTGGCGAGAAAGAGCAAGGCAATAATAATAATAATAATAATAATTATTATTATTATTATTATTATTTATTTATTTATTTATTTATTTATTTACTTTGCTTGTATACCGCAGTTTCTCAGCCCGTAGGCGACTCAACGCGGTTCACAACAAGAGCAAAAAGACAATCATAACAATATACAATTAGGGCTGAGAGCGGCGGTCAACAAATGCAATAAATAAATAAATAAAAACCATTAAGAGCATAATATACAAAGTAATGACACATCACTAACAACACATTAACGTCTCGTAACTAGAATCGTGATCCAATTCGTCGTCTATAATAATGCATGAATAATAGTAATACTATATAATAACTAGCCGTCCCCTGCCACACATTGTTGTGGCCCTCGTGGGGGTTCTGTGTGGGAAGTTTGCCCCGATTCTATCGTTGGTGGGGTTCAGAATGCTCTGTGATGGAGGTGAACTATAAATCCCAGCGACTACAACTCCCAAATGTCAAGATTCTATTTTTCCCCAACTCCACCAGTGTTTACATTTGGGCATATTGAGTCTTCGTGTAAAGTTTGGTCCAGATCCATCATTGTTTGAGTCCACAGTGATCTCTGGATATAGGTGAACTACAACTCCAAAACCAAAGGACACTGCCCACCAAACCCTTCCAGTATTTTCTGTTGGTCATGGGAGAACTGTGTGCTAAGTTTGGTTCAATTCCATCGATGGTGGAGTTCAGAATGCTCTTTGATTGTAGGTGAACTATAAATCCCAGCAACTACGACTCCCAAATGTCAAGATTCTATTTTCCCCCAACTCCACCAGTGTTTACATTTGGGCATATTGCGTCTTCATGTAAAGTTTGGTCCAGATCCATCATTGTTTGAGTCCACAGTGATCTCTGGATGTAGGTGAACTACAACTCCCAAACTCAAGGTCAATGCCCACTCAACCCTTCCAGTATTTTCTGTTGGTCATGGGAGTTCTGTGTGCCAAGTTTGGTTTAATTCCATCGTTGGTGGAGTTCTGAATGCTCTTTGATTGTAGGTGAACTACAAATCCCAGCAACTACAACTCCCAAATGTCAGGATTCTATTTTCCGCAAACTCCACCAGTGTTTACATTTGGGCATATTGAGTCTCCGTGTAAAGTTTGGTCCAGATCCATCATTGTTTGAGTCCACAGTGATCTCTGGATGTAGGTGAACTACAACTCCAAAACCCAAGGACACTGCCCACCAAACCCTTCCAGTATTTTCTGTTGGTCATGGGAGAACTATGTGCCAAGTTTGGTTCAATTCCATCGTTGGTGGAGTTCAGAATGCTCTTTGATTGTAGGTGAACTATAAATCCCAGCAACTACAACTCTCAAATGACAAAATCATAATTTTTTGAGTAATGGTCACTCCTTGTGTTGTGAGATGTTTTGCTGGCAAATTTGGTATGATTTCGTTCATTGGTTCTTTTGTTTTTAAGATATATCTGGAAGTGTCCTTGAGAGAAAAAGCAGAATAATAGTAATACTACTACTACTACTACTACTACTACTACTAATAATAATAATAATAATAATAATAATAATAATAATAATAAAAAAAAATATCACTTTGCTGAGGCCTCTTCCCTGGAATAATAACTTTTAGAAAAGCACGAACCTTTTAGAAATCATAATCTTTTATAAAATGGCTTTTATGTCCTTTTAGAGAAGAGTCAAAAACTCATTTGAGTAGAATGCTGTTTCTCAAGTCATGCCTGACACACAAAAAATTGAGTAGAATCTTCTCAAGTGGTATACAACCAAATGTAATTATGCAAGGCAATTGGCTTCAGTTGTTAGACTGAACAACCTGTTGTCTCTGATCTGTGAGGAAACAGATAATATGCCAGTGCATAAAATGCCATTGTTTCAGAAGTGTTTTTCAGTGCCCAAAATATACCTACTGTCCAATAAAACAACTAGTTTTATATCATGCACTCAAGAGACAAAATAAAGTAGACTTTGGTAAAAATAACATATTTAGTTTACTCACGACCTTCATTTGTTCAGCATTTCTTAGGCGATCCCTCGTAGTCCGAGGATGATGGTCCTCCAAGTTTGGTGTCCTGGCGGTGGGTCTGTATGTGGCTGTGGAGCCCTATTCTTGATCTGCATCTTCTCCCGCAGTGAGGGCATTGGTTTCCAGGTGGAAGACGGTCCCGGTTGGGATTAGCATGATGTGCCTTCCTCTTGGCACGTTTCTCTCTTTCACTCTCCATTCGTGCCTCTTCAAATTCTGTAGCACTACTGGTCACAGCTGACCTCCAGCTGGGGCGCTCAAGGGCCAGGGCTTCCCAGTTCTCAGTGTCTATGCCAGAGATTTTAAGGTTGGCTTTGAGCCCATCTTTCAATCTCTTTTCCTGCCCACCAACATTCCATTTTCTGTTCTTGAGTTTGGAGTAGAGCAATTGCTTTGGGAGACGGTGGTCGGGCATCCAGACAACGTGGCCGGTCCAGCGGAGTTGATGGCGGAGGACCATCGCTTAGATGCTGGTGGTCTTTGCTTCTTCCAGCACGCTGACGTTTGTCCGCCTGTCTTCCCAAGAGATTTGCAGGATTTTCCGGAGGCAGCGCTGATGGAATCGTTCCAGGAGTTGCATGTGACGTCTGTAGACAGTTCATGTTTCGCAGGCATAGAGCAGGGTTAGGAGGACAATAGCTTTATAGACAAGCACCTTGGTATCCCTACGGCTGTCCCTGTCCTCAAACACTCTCTGCTTCATTCGGAAAAATGCTGCACTCGCAGAGCTCAGGCGGTGTTGTATTTCGGTGTCGATGTTGACTTTGGTGGAGAGGTGGCTGCCAAGGTAGCGGAAATGATCAACATTTTCTAATGTTACACCATTAAGCTGTATTTCTGGCATTGGAGAGGGGTTGGATGGTGACTGCTGGAAGAGGACTTTGGTTTTCTCGATGTTCAATGACAGGCCGAGCTTCTTGTATGCTTCTGCAAAGGTGTTTAGAGTGGCTTGTAGATCTTCTTCTGAATGCGCACAGACGACGTTGTCATCAGCATACTGGAGTTCTATAACCAATGTTGTTGTAACCTTGGTTTTGGCTTTCAGTCTGCTGAGGTTAAACAGCTTGCCATCTGTCCAATAGATGATTTCCACTCCGGTGGGAAGCTTCTCGTCAACAAGGTGAAGTATCATAGCGATGAAGATGGAGAATAAAGTTGGGGCAATAACACATCCCTGTTTGACACCAGATTCCACCTTACATGGGTCACTTTGGGAGCCATTGCTGTCCAAAACTGTTGCCATTATGTCATCATGGAGGAGCCGGAGGATGTTCACAAATTTGTTAGGGCATCCAATTTTTTGGAGGATGGTCCAGAGTCCACTGCGATTCACTGTGATGAATGCCTTTGCAAGGTCAATGAATGCCATGGACAGAGGTTGATTTTGTTCCCTGCATTTTTCTTGGAGCTGAGGTTAGAAGGGAGATATCTCGATAGTTTCCGCAGTCTGTTCTTTCCCCTTTTTTGAAGAGGGTGATGATGGTGGCATCCTTGAAATCTTTGGGGGTGCTCCCTCCCTCCATCCCAGTGACTTGTGTGGGAGACGTAGCCCTGAGTGGGAGAACACCTATCGGCTGCAGCCGGATGAAAGGAATCGGCACCTGTCATGTTGCTAGGGCTCTACCTTGTTTAGGTAGAGATGAATCAAACTCCCAGTTTTAACAAACAGTTTAATTAAAACAGCACGTACTTGCCTGGCTGTTTTTATAGTCCAAAATATAAAACACAAAAATAGCATGCAGCTACAGAATAAACAAAAACTGATAGCAAAAATAACTTCATAGTCAAAAGGGTCCAGTCCAATGGTCAAATGCTGAGAGTTCAATAAACAAAGTCCAGGGATCAAGAGTCTATACCAGGGGTCCTCAGAGGGCCAGGGCACAATCACTCAAACTGTTGGAGTTTTTTTTTTTTTTTTTTTTAGTGGGCTGTATGCGGCCCGCCGAGGGCATTTCTCCGGCCCGCGCGGCCTGGCCTGGCCACGCCCACCCGGCGCCGCTCCGCCAATTGCGGACACCCTCTGCTCCGGCCGCTCTGCCTGTGTGGGAGGGAGAAGCCTCCCAGGTGGGTCCTCTGCAGAGCAGAGCGGCTGGAGCAGAGGGTGTCCGCAATTGACGGAGCGGCGCTGGGTGGGCGTGGCCAGGGAACGCCGGCGTGGTGAAGGCAAGTGAACTACAACTCCAAAACTCAAGGTCAATGCCCACTAAACCCAGTATTTTCTGTTGTTCATGGGAGTTCTGTGTACCAAGACTGGTTCAATTCCATCATTGGTGGAGTTCAGAATGCTCTTTGATTGAACTATAAATCCCAGCAAATACAACCCCAAACGCCACCAGTGTTCACATTTGGACATATTGAGTATCAGTGCCAAGTTTGGTCCAGATCTATCATTGAGTCCACAGTGATTTATGGAGGCAGGTGAACTACAACTCCAAAACCAAAGGACACTGCCCACCAAACCCTTCCAGTATTTTCAGTTGGTCATGGGAGAA